TTTTTTTTCCCGATGTATGATATATTGATAGCCTCTAAAGCCTATTTATAAACTAAAAATAAGTTGCGTTGATCGCTTGGATGCCACTGATTGAAACGTTTTGGGTCTCTCCAGACCACAGCCTATGCGCCCCAGTTCGGCAGGTCACCTCGTTGTTAACGTTTGGGCAAAATGCTTCTCCACGGGCAGATCAGAAGCGTGGCCGGCTACTTTCACGATTAGATGGTGACGATCGAGGCTTGGCGAAAGATGTCAGCAAATCTTGCTGACAAATTGGGCTTTCTCACCTTGTCACTTCGTTACTCAACTTTATCTCAACAACAACCCCTTATCTGCCAATTGACAGTCACGTGGGCCCGCAACATTTCACCAGTCCTTCAGAAGAAGACCATCGTTGTTCGGCCTTTGCATTCCTTTTTCGCCCCCTTCCCCACGACCGACCTGTACATGCAAGCAATCGTGGTCAAGGACCGACTCTTGCGCTCATCACCTTGCCTCCCTTTCTCCCTCTCGCCCCCTTTCGGTCTCTTTGGCTCGTTCCCACTCTTTGCAACATTCACGCATTTGCACGTTCATGCGGTCAGATACTAGCAAATCTTGCTCTGCCGACAATTCTTCCCAGCACAGGCCCGTCGAGGGGAGACCGGCAGTGGATAAAAGAAGCCGGATCTGGGCAGGTCAGTTTGCGGATCCGAGTCCGTCCGCGAGTCTTGGATTTTGTAGACTAGACGTTGCGTCAACACTCGACGGATAAGCGATGGCAGTCTGCGTGCCTAAAGAGCATCGAGACGTCTGACAGCTTATCGCTGAACGTCGGTCAGACGTCGTCGGGACGAGCACATGTGCGGACAGTCTGTAGCCACTTGTAGCCGGAATTTAGGCGGACAGGTGTGAATTGGGCCAAGGTGAAGAAAGCGATACACATGCACTTTTTATCTTCATGCTGGCCTCCTTCGGATGGGACGACACGGGCCCTGTTTTTCAGCAGATATGCTTTCTCGTGCAACGGGAACGAGGAGGATAGGTCGGAAAAATTCTCCAATTTCCGGTAGATTGCGAGAGGT